TTTAGAACATTTTGCACAGGTCTAATTAGGAGCCACCAGTGAAACATAACAGAAAATAAGGAAATTCACAATATGATCAGTCACACTATCCAAAAAAAGAAAATCACACTGACAGCCAGAGAACGATGTACCTTTTGTTTCATGACTGTTAATAAAAGCTCACACATCCGTACATACCTGCTTCATTCTGATTGGACAGCGGCCCACGACAAGTCGCTAAAGTAAACAAAAAACACACACGTGAGATGCGGCTCGTGATTTACAGCTCGACAACTCGTCCTGCATCATTTTTTCCAAGCGTTTCTTCTCAGCTGGCAGCGAGTCCCAACACTGTAATTAGAGTGTTTGGAAAGGCCGGGGGTTCACAGCCATATATCAGCCTGCAGCTGTACATCCAATCTGATCTGGGCAAAAGAAGTTACAGCTTTCTGTTTTGTGATTGCCGTTGAAAGTTTTATTTTCCAGCCATTAACGCAACCCTGTAATTATTTTTATGGTTAATTATTAACTCTCCGGGTTTTGGGGCTGCAGGGAGGGACTGAATGGGGGGTTTTGATGCAAGGCTGTGGATGGTTTGCATAAATTTAATGAGCTGTGCAGTTTACAGGCAACAGAAATCAAAACACAGCTTATCATCTTGAACCCCAGAGTGAGGCAAGCTGCTGGCCTGTGCACACTTAGCCCAGCATCCCTGTAATACTAATTAGAGTTAATAAGTCAAAAGCAAAGCCTATAAAAGTGACATTGTTTGTGATGTTGTAGAGAAAAGAGTCTCGGTGCCTGCTGACACCATGTTTGTGTTTTTTCTTGTTTGCCTTTGATTTCACTGTTGCACCCACCTTTCATCATCTGATTTATGAACCAAAGCTGGCTGAGCGTTGAGTGCCAGAAAACATAATGATCAATTATATCATTATAAATTATATAATATCTTTGTAATACAGCACAGGCAGCTGTCTGACTTCAAAGCCGAAGGGCCCAGGTGATTGTAAATCATTTCAGGCCGATTCCTTTCAAAGCATGTTCATCTGTTACACTGACTGAGTGACTCAAGAGTTTCCGAGCGCAAGAAAAGACTGAAAACCCGGCCCTGTCTGTGTGCATCTGTGAATGCATACAACCCCTTCTTTCACTCACTATCAAACACACAATGGCAGGTCTTTCCTCAGTCACGAGAAGAAAAAAATACAAACGTTATCTTGCCTTTCGCATTAAATGCTCAAATGCTGCCTACTGCCTCCTTAACCTGACACAGCAGGAAGCAACGGCTGAAACAGCTACAGTTAGGTCCTTATATATTTGGACGCTGACAGTTTTTTTTTTTACCTGTTTACTGAGGGTACCCACGTTCAAATTGGGTGAAGGGTTTAGGAGTTTCAGCTCCTTAATATCTGCCATCTTCTTTTAAAGGGACCAAAAGTAATTGGACAGACATTGTCTCAAAGGCTATTTCACAGGCAGGTGTGGGTAATTCCTTCCTTATATCATTATCAATTAAGCAGATAAAAGGTCTGGAGTTGATTTGAGGTATGGTGCTTGCATTTGGAAGACTTTGCTGTGAACAGACAACATGCGGTCAAAGGAGCTCTCTATGCAAATAAAACAAGCCAACCTTAAGCTGCGAAACAGAAAAAAAAACATCTGAGAAATTGCTACAATGTTAGGAGCGGAAAAATCTACAATTTGGTACAGAAAGAAAGAAAGCACTGGTGAACTCAGCAGCACAAAACGACCTGGACGTCCATGGAAGACATGCGTGGTGGATGATCGCAGAATAAATTCCATGGTGATGAGAGATCCCTTCACAACAGCCAAACAAGTGAACAAGACTCCCCAGGAAGCAAGTCACTCATAAGCCTCAAGAGTAGAAAGGCTAGATTGGAACAAAAAAGCCAGCAGAGTTCTGGAAAAATCTTCTCTGGACAGATGAAACCAAGATTATCCTCTACCAGAGTGATGGCAAGACAAAAGTATGGAGAAGGCGTGGAACAGCTCATGATCCAAAGTGTACCACATCAACTGTAAAACACGGCGGAGGCAGCGTGATGGCTTGGACACTAATGTTTGTTGATGATGTGACACAGGACAGAAGCAGCCGAATGAATTCTGAGGCGTTTAGAGACATACTGTCTGCTCAGATCCAGCTACATGCAGTCAAATTGATTGTCAGTGTTTCATAATACAGATGGAAAATGACCCAAAACATACAACCAAAGCAACCCAGGAGTTTATTGAAGCAAAGTAGTGGAATATTCTTGAATTTTCTTTAGTTTTGTTGAAGACCCAGCATCTGGTGATGTGGATGGGTTCAAGACTTCAGGCTGTCATTGCCATCCAAGCTTTTTCAACCAAGTATTAGAAATAAGATTTTTATTGTCAGTTATTGAATTTGTCCAATTACTTCTGATCCTCTGAAAATAAGGGCTCGTGTTTAAAAAAAAAAATCTGTTAGTTCCTCACATTTTTATGCAAACTTTATAATTAACCCGCTGAATTAAAGCTGAACTTTAACTGCATTTGAGTTGTTTAATTTAATATTCATTGTGGTAACATACAGAACCAAACAAGTAAAGAAAAAGTCATCTCTGTCCAAATATATATGGACCCAACTGTATCCCCATCTCTCCACCCTGCCTCTCCCTATCACACACACTCCAGGAAGAAGCCACTGCCAATTATCTCTTCTCTCTGTCTTCGCACTCGCCACCCCTCCCTCTTTTCTTCCCACTGCTGAGACGAGAAGCGATTATCCTCCTATATTTTTAAGGCAGACTCACCAACAGATTTATTGTCAGCCTTTAAGACCTCTCTGCAGGAGTTTATGGAAACGATTAAGTCTTAAGCAGCGCTTTCTTCCAAATTTAGCCACAATTCACTCCATTAAAATCCCACCTAGCCCTTAGTGGGCTATGACATAAAGGTGACAGAGCTTATTATCAGGGTTTTCTGCATCTGATCGGCTAGGAAGCCATGAACGATGGCGAGTGGAGGAGGAGGAAAGCGCCTCCACATGTGGGTTTGACTTGTGTGCCGATGTCAGGCTTGGCCAGGGGGACAGTAGTGATATATGATGTGCAAGGCTTTTAATGTGAACAGAGGCTGGCGGGGGGAAAGGAAATGTTCCTATACAGATATCCATCACTCTCAGCTCATCACCTTGCAGCCTCGTGGCCATGACATCATGGTGAGACCGGGACGAAAAGCGAAGGAGGCGATTGGTTCCTTATGTTGAAGCAGTGTCTGCCCGAGGCCTGTGGTGGCCACATCAGCAAACAAACTGGTCTGAGGGTTGTTCGTGATTTAGGCCGGAATCACAACACAAGGAAACGACACCGAAAATTTATTAGCTTCATGATGCCATTTTTCTCCAGTTATCTTGTTATGTTTTTACTTTGTGAAAGCAACAGTGCACAGCTGAATAGAGAGTAGATTGTTAGTGTAAATGACTCCTTTACATTGTCCTTGGCAAAAAATACAGAAAAACCTATACGCCTATAAAACTATATAATATAGGTTAATATAAAAATTCTCATGTATGATGGCTGTGGTCCTGGGATCATAGCGGATTCTCCAGTCTGCACCCCAAATTGTTCGTGATGCATCGTTGGTGGGTGAGTGTGTGGGTAGAAAATGTTTAAGACATGGGTGAAAGTGGCCTGTAGTGTAAATAGCACTTTGAGTGATCGGTAAGAGTTGAAAGGTGCTATCCAAGTACCACTGACCATTTACATACCTTATAATAAACAAGGACAAACAGTACAGAACATCACCAATAAATGGCACATATTAGTTGCTGTCAGTAAAGTCTGTGATGTTTATGGCCCTGCTTTGTGACAATCTGCCCCTGTAGATTACCACTATTTACTTTAACTTTTCTGAAAAAATGAACATGACTAATTTTAATATTGAACACAAAAGCTAAATGGCAGTTACAGTGGAAGTTGCATTCTTCTGTTTGTCTTAACCAGTTGTATCAAATTTAAGGCCCGGGGTCAGCACCGGGCCAGCAAAGACCCGAACCCGGCCCACTGGAGATGTTTAGAAAATACGACGGAGGGCATAAAGGTTTCAACTTTTTTACTGTATATTCATAAATTTGACAGCTATTCCTGTTGATAAGGATTCCCCACACAGCCATTTATATTACAACAAAGTAGTTAGGTAAACAATTTAATGACAGTTTTTCACCATGTACAATAGAAATTTTGTTTAAAAATTTTTTTTCATCAAAAACTTTGTTTTATAAATATGAGACAGTCTGGGCAGTGACCTGAGATGTCCTGATAAAGTTGCACTTCTTTATCTTATATTAAAATATATCAGGGATTAAATGTGCAGTTAAATGTTTTTACACTGAAAGTGAGTTTCACTCATCTCGCCCACATCAAAGTGAGCTGCACATGCTTTATGTTTCTAAAAGTAGTTTGACATCCCTGGTGTAAACTGAGGCATTGCACAAAAATAATAAGTACAAATGTTTTTTTTGATTTTATGATGTGCAAATCATCAAAAAAAAATATTTGTGACCAGAAATCGAACTGAAGTGCTTCAGGGCTGCAACTGCACTTTTTTCCTGAGAAAGAGGAACTTTCTCAGAACTGTGATTTAATCTGCTCACATTTGTGAATAAAGCTCTTAGTTAGAAAATGTAATGACCTCTATAACAGTCGTTAAACTTTTCTGTAAAGATGTCTGGATATGTATTCTGGAGGAAAATAGAAAAAACTTAAAAAGAGGAAAAGAGGGTTATAGGAGAATTTTCACTCTGTTTGACATGGTAAAATTGAGAAGCGGAAACATTCTGTCTGATTGTGAAATTTAAGGTTTTGCAGCTTTCTTTAAAAACAATCATTTCAAAATTGATGGTTACCTAAAGCAAGCAATTTGGTGATGAGTTTTAGAAAACTGTGTAAATATTTTTATTGCCTTACATAATATGTTATATGTATAACATAAGTATTATGTATGTTGATTATGTTGACCAATATCATGTACCTGTGCACGTCATATTTGTAGTTTCTGATGCTTCAGCGGCAGGTGGATTTTAAACATTAAACACTGTTTCAGCAGACAAGAGAAGGAAGGAAACGAATAAATGAATATTAATAAAATATAATATACTTAATATATTCAGTACAAAAGCGCTCAGAGTGTTAATTGTCAAACAGGACACAGCTACACCACCTTACAGCATGTATATCTCACTAGAAGTCTTAATACAACTCCAAGACTAAAACAGTTGGGATGCAACTGGTTTTGCAAATCTCATAAACCAATATTTTATTCACAATAGAATCAATATGTAAAAAAACTGCATTAACAAATTGTGGAACAATTTTGGAACGATGTTCATCAAAGAATTTGAATACCTGAATGCAAAGTCTTTACCAGTGCATAATATCATTCAAAGGACCAAGATGAAAATATGTACTAGATTCCAGCGGGTCCTTGGGCTGCGCTGCATTGCAAGCAGGCACATTCTGTCATAGGAGTCACTGCATGAGCTCATAAACACCGTTTGCTGTTCCGTCTACACATGCAGGATAACACCCTATCATGCACATCATGAACATGATCCAGAAATTGGTCCAAAGCCCTTTTAAAATGGACTGAGGGAAAGTGGAACCGAATGAAAATTTGCAAATTCTCTTTTGGAAAACATGGAGGCCGTGTCCTTTGGACTAAGGAAAGGAGAGACCATCTGACTAGTTATCAGTGCTCAGTTCAAAAGCCTGCATCTGGAAAGGCACCATCAAAGCTAGATGGATGACCTTTTCAAAGAGGGCCTTGAAGGAGGAGCAAGACAACCTTAAACTGTCTATGCTTCTGCTTTTTAAAGATGTGTTGCTGCCATCAAATGAGTCAGTATTTTTATTAAGATGGAATTTTTTCTTGGTTTAAACGTTTGGTATTTCTGCTCTGTCCTTTTGTGAATAACATATGAGACAATGAGATTTGCAAATCATGACATTCTCCTTTATTTACATTTTACACAGCATTGGGGTTGTGATATGTTTACAGTAGAAATGGCACAATGATGTCTTGGCATATTTGCCAAAAGAATGAAAATCGGCCTATAGGGCACCTCTATAGCTCACCTCTATAGCTCACCTGGTAGAGTAGGTAATCTGTATGCTGAAAGGGTGCAGAGGCCATGGTCTAATTCTGCCCAGATCATTTTCTGTGTCCCATTCCTACTTGCTCTTTCTACTCAGCGAGTGTCCTGTGCACTAAAACAAACGGAAAAAAAATAAAATAAATCAGTCTCTAATTACGTGCTAATACGCTACATAAATACAGCTATGAAAACATGGCTGAAAGTCACATGACATTGCCATCCTGGAGACGACACAGAGAAGTCTCCTCCGTTGGTCCTGCATCTCCAGCCAGCTTCCATCCATCTTTCCAGCTGCTCTTTGGTGATGAATCTTCTCCCTGAGCCCCAGCCCCACTCCAGCAGAGAGCCCTCTTGTAGAAAGGCCTGTGGAGGATATAATGAATTACATGTCTACCCAGGGTTCCCCGACCTCTGACCCATGACATCATCAATCAGCAAAGTCCTACACTTAAGTGAAACGGTGGGCCCCTAGCCTGGAACGCTTAGCCCGGTCCCTGCCGGCAAGCAGGGGCCACTGATTTTCACGTGTTTTTATTTGTTTTCATAATCCCTTAGTGTTCGTCCTCGCTGATGTGTTTGGAAGGAATACACGACTCTGTCTATAATTTGTTTAAAGCTGCAAGAAGAGAAATATAGGGCGTTAAGTGAGAAGAGGACTTGGACATGAGTAGGGAAAAAATGGCAGACACGGCCTCCTTGCACATATGGAAAAAATTTCTTACCCTCCTACCTTCCGCATGGCACTGTGCTATTTCTGGAGGCCTGGCGGTATTTTAAAGTAAAGGCATGAGTTAGGATATACGTACATATCTGTTTCTTCAGGCCACATTAGGGCGTTTTAAGGAACGTATTTACGGTAGAACGGACTACAGTGTTTTGTATTTTTATGGAAAAAATTTGATTTTCAGGAAGCGGGATGATGGGAAAATCTCACCAGGTGTCCCTCCCTCGTCCTTCACATCTCGCCTCCAGCAGTGCCTATATAAGGCAGCTACTTTTCACCAGCCCACCTTTATGTGCTTGTCCACAGACATAATTTACAAGCTCAGCTACACCTCCACACAGCCTCTGAGCCGGCTTGATTATACTGCTGTAGAGGAAGCGAGCACTCAGAGGTTATCTGTGGACTCACAACAGTGGGAAGGCACAGCTTTATTATTCTTTTCAAATGTTACACTGCTGACTTTGCCCCATTAATATGCATGCAACTCTATTTTATGGTCACCATAGATTGCTCTATATATTTAACAGAAGATTCTTTTTTATTTTGTCTGATGCCTGTTTGCACACTTGGTTTCATTTCATTTCATGTGATTTGAAAGATTTACTCTGATGGATTCGCCAGTTGTAAACATTCAAGCTGGATCTGGAACGTCCGGAAATGAAATGGATGTGAAGCCAGATTATATGTGTCGGGTTTGTACGAAAGTTCGATTTATTTATTCTTTTTAGATCGCGAGTATGCAGTTTGAGAGTATTTTTTGCAGAGGAGTTATATTGGTAGCAAAAATGATCAAAATAGAATAAAATAATAAAACATGAACACATTAAAGTGGAGAAAAACCAGAACATTGCATAATGAGGAGATAGTCAGGAAGACATGAACACAAAATCTCAGCTACATGTCGAGAAAAGCAGCATTTTTTCAGCGTTTTGCTTTATTTCACTACCTTATGTAGTATTCTATCTGTGCATGCTTGATGTCTGTGGCTTAGTAATATAGATGAGGAGCAAAGTGAGGAGTGGTGTAATGGAGTGCTGGAAAGAGAGAGCAGCAAGCTGACGAATGGAGCGTTTCTCTGAGTGTCAGCGGGAGCTTCCAGGATGATAACCTCTGCTCCTCTCAGTTTCCAGCATTGCGCAGTGGTTTCCGTGTTTTGTTTTTTTTTACGACACAGCTCTCATCTAACATCTTAACTCATGCTTCACTTTCTGTCCCCTCTTCTCCATCTTGCTGTCCCTTCTCCTTCCTCTCTTCAGCCAGACTCGGGCTCTGGGCCTCTCCTGTTAGCTGGATACGAGAATGGCTCTCTGTTGCTGTGGGACGTAACCCAGAGGTCCAAGTTGAGCCAAGTCAAAGCCCACCCTGAGCCTGTCATGTGCCTGACCTTTGACACCACAAGTCTGAGGGGCGTATCGGGCTCCTCTGAGAAGACGCTCTCCTCCTGGAGGCTGGATGGACAGAGCAACCTGCAGGTCAGTAGAGGACAGAGCGTTTGATCTGACTGGTCAGTCACTCTCAAACTGTGAAAATGTGAATTTGTTTGTTGTGATACACCTGCAGTAACCTCTAATCCGCAGTGATAACTTAGAAAAACATAGCTTTAATCATTGCTTTTAGCTAGCTGTATTAAGTATTTGTGACTTAAATTGATTTGTGCTTGATTTTAGCTGTTTTTTTCTGTTCGGATGTTTCAGTTGGGTCACTATGTACTTTTCTTTATATCAAATAATACTAACAATTCTGCCAAATTAGGGTTAAGTACTGAAGGTATTTTAGACATGATGCCAGGTGTCTCTTGAAGTTGAGATTTTTAATCTCAATGAGATTTTTTACCTGGATAAATAAAGGACTAATAATAAATAGAAGTATTCCAAAGGATACAACTACCTTGGTTGAGCTAGTCATGCTAATTCATATTGGTTACTGAAGCGTCCCTAGCTAAGACCCCAAATAAGCTGACCTGCTAACTAATTGTTGAACAAGAGAGTCCCTAGAAATAGTATAAAAAGGAACTGGCAGCAGCAGAGGAGTGTTACCTTTCTCTGGGCTTGCTTGGAAAACATCAGGGGCCAAAGAGGAAGAGGCTCAGCAGGGCTCCAGGGGCCATAAATCAGCTGCTGGTTACACAGCATTGGCAGAGCTGGGGGCCAAGGGCCAAGCTGGGGCTGTCACTCCAGAGTCTTACCACCCACATGAACATTGATACACAATCGCATACTAGACCTCGATATGCTCACGTCACCGTTGATTACAGCTGGGAAGAAAAATGTGTGTCATTTTCTGGTTTTAAAAAGAGGAAAATCAAGGCATACTTAATTCATTTAGCATACAACATTCCTCTTACCATAATTCTGTTAAAACACACAGACTCTCAAACATATGTCCTGTCTATACAATAAATTCCATGCCAGTGCATCTGCACTAACACCAAAAGAGATCATATCAACTTGTACCATAATTCATTTTACATAACAGCCAACGCCTCCGAGACTTAACGCCTCATTTGAAGCTGTATTTTCTCTTGATTTCATGAGCAAAAGGGAATGCTCCTATTTTTCAGCCAACCCCCGTGAATCCGAGCCAAGGGGAACCTGAGGCTGATATAGTACACTCCTGCACAGTGAAAGCGGTATTATTCTTTCCGAGGCTTTTTACAAATGAATGCTTGAATTAGAAATATTTGCGAAGCTCCATTTTTTTTCACCCCTAAATATGTGTCTAGGAAAACACCGCGAAGGATTTGATTCAATCGAAAGAAGGAGGAGAGGGGTTTATTTGCTTTATTTTGCTCGAGCAACAAAATATTGATTCAGCGTGTAATCCAGGATGAGTATGACAGGCAGAAAGCACAAGGAGAGGGAAAGGATCCAACGGGGGCTTTTAAATTATTCTGAAGTGCAGCTCAGTGTGACGTCCAGACAGCTATCCTCAGTTCTTCCCACAAAAGTATTTTTGTGTGGCCATAGCAGGCAGGCAGGGGGGACCTGCCGGTTGGTGGACCCTGGCCCGGGGTCCTGACTGATGACCCTTGAGAGGTAATAAAAATATCAAAACCTGAGAGGCCCCTTAACCAAACAAAAAACACATCTGCAGTAAAGGGAACAGTAGTTCACAGTGGGAGGCTGCAATAAAGGCTGAGGAGGCTGTAAGTGCCACAGCATCCCACTTCCCACAAATTACCCCTGCGATACAGTCCAGTGCAGCAGAGCTGGCTGGATGCTTTTTTTTCTCCTTTTTTTTGGTGAAACGGTGGGGAAACTGAATGTGACACAATGCAGCGCAGTTATGATTTAGCGAGGCTGAAAGGCTGTGAAGTGAGCTTATCAAGGCCAGATAAAGACAGATAGCCTCAGGAATGGAGGTTAATGTATTTCACATGGCTTCCAGAGGCCTTTATCTTCTGCTTGACCTGGAAAGCCTGATATCATTTCATAGCATTTTTCCCCCTCTGCTCTGGTGCAGTGTGCATTTTTGAGAATTTGTCAGGGTCGAGACTATGTTGTATAAAGACGTGAGACTTACAAGCTGTTAAACCAGATGGACGCTCATTTAGGTGGATGCTCACCTGCATTGGCACGTGCAGTGACGGGTTTCTCCTGGAGAGGGAAAAAGACAGCAGTCGCAGTCTGGAGAAGGGAAAACGGGGTATAGACAGGGGAAGATTAGCAATGTAAATCAAGCGTGTCTGACAGTGAGCTGTTGCTGGAGCTGATGACAGTTCTCTACAGGTGGACATCCTGCTCCTCACATACACAGCAATATAAAAATATCCCCTGTTGTCACCTGCACGATTTCTTTGGGAAACCACAATTCCTGCAACTGCTAGTGTCGAGTCCTGGCTTTTGGATCCGATCAAATCAAGCCCAACTTCAGCTGTGCTGCAATATAAAAAATCTTCACTCTTTTTATGAGGCATCACCCTTCCTCCTCCTCCTCCTATCTTTTCTGAATGGGATTGCTCACCTGACACATCCATCTCCTGTCAGCCAGAGCCGAGCTCTAACAGACAAGGTGACAAAAGGCTGTAATCTCCCCACTGCCAAGTGTGATTCAGGGACAGGGTGTGTCAGATATACCTGTGAAAACCCTTCCAGCCGCTAGACTCGAGTGAGTGAGCGATGATGGGACATTTCAGTAGATCAGTGTGAACACCAAGATTGGTGCCAAGACCAAGGTTAAAGACAGGAGGGAAGAAGAAGGGGGAAAAAGTGAAGCAAAGCACGAGTGAAACCTGCCAAGTGGACACTCCCTTTGAACGTCAGCTCGCTCTGGTGAGATGCTACGAAAGAGGATCCTGAAGTGTGAGTTTGTGTTGGATCTGTCATAGGCCCAGCTGCTGAGCAGAGCTGGTAGCCTCCTGACAGCTGAGAAATCTGGCGTTTAGACAGCAAACCCCGTTGTGTGTGTTTATCTGCATGCTGTAACACAGCCCAGGAAGGAGTGTTTCCAAAAAGGGAAGAAAAAAAAACAAGAAAAAAGAATGATGAAGACCAAAGATGGATTCTGTCTGTGATGAGATAGCAAGGAAGCAATCTGAGGAAAAATGGGGTGGAAATAATGCAAGCCAAGACTCCCCGGTTAGAGCTAATGGGTTTCATTAGAGACTGAGGACTGGTTAATGGCAGCACTTG